CTCTTGGGCATATACCCAAATAATGCACGTCCATACAAGAAGGACATATATTCAACCATGTTCATAGCAGCATTGTTTGTAATAGCCAGAACCTGGAAGCAACCTAGATGCCCCTCAATTGAAAAATGGATAGAGAAAATGTGGTACATATATACAATGGAGTACTACTCAGCAGAAAAAATGCAACGGAATTCTGAAATTCCCAGGCAAATGGATGGAACTAGAAGAAACCATCCTGAGTGAGGTAACCCAGTCACAAAAAGACAAACATGGTATGTACTCACTCATATAGGGATTTTAGATGTAGAGCAAAGGATTCCCAGCCTACAATCCTCTTCACCAAAGAAACTAGGAAACAAGAAGAACTCTAAGAGAAAAATGCATGGACCCCAGAGAATAGGAAGGGGCAGGATCTCATTAGCTAATTGGAAGCATGAGGATAGGGGACAGGAAGCTGCCAGAATGAGAGGAGGAGAAAAGGAGGGGAGAAGAGGAAATGGAGGAGCAGAAATGTTGAGTTGGGGGAACAATAGAGGAGAGGAGGATGAGAGATAACATATCAGAGGGAGTCATTATAGGTCCGAGGAGAGATCTGGCACTAGGGACATTTCCAGGGATCTACATGGATGACACGAACTGACAATCTAGGTAATGGTGGAGAGGATAACCTAAATTCCCTTCCCCTATAATGAGACTGATGGCTACTTTTTATGCCATCCTAGAGCCCTCATCCAGTGTCTGATGGGAGTAGAAACAAACACCCAAAGATATACACTGAAATGAACTCTGGAACCTACTTGCAGAGAGGGAGGAATGAAGATCAATGGGTTCAGTACTAGGCTGGTGAAACCCACAGAATCAGCTGGCCTGAACAAGGGGGAGCACATGGACCCCAGACTGCTGTCTGGGAGGCCAGCACAGGACTGAATCAGACCCCTGAACATGGATATCAATGAGGAGGCCTCCGCACTCTAGGGGAACCCTGGTAGTGGATTAGTATTTTTCCCTGGTGTAAGAAGGGACTTTGAGAGCCCATCACATGTGAAGGGATGCACTCTTGGCCTGGACATTAGTTATAAAAAATAAAATTAAAAAAATTTGACACAAACATTGAATAGCAACTATTAGGAGTTGGGACGGGATATTGATATGGGATTGATTAGTGTATGCTATGTGCCTGCATGGGATTATCACACTGAGCGCCATTAAATTATATAATGAATTTCTGGCCTGCCTTCTGGTGCCCTGCTTGGAGCCTCCTGAGGCCTGGGGACTGTACTCTGGGGAACTCATCCCAGCAGAACAGTCCATCTAGAGTCTGCCAACATCCTGGTACTAGTCCCGCCTCCACCCCCGGGATGAGGAGAGCCATTAGAGTATTGGACCTGCTTGCACCCATTAGAAGAGAACGTTGGTCTCATACACACCAGGAAAGGTAGAGACCTCATTGGAAGAATGGATGGGAAGACAACAGTATAAGAACACAGTCAACAACAAAAAGATGAATGTGATGCCACCTGAGTCTAGGGACTCCACACCAACATACCTGGACATTCCTGCACAGATGAAGCAGAAGAAAATGACCCTAAAAACAACTTTATGAAGACGATAGAGACCTTCAAAGAAGTAATGAGAAAATCCCTTAAAGAAATGGAAGAAAAAACAAAAAATTCAAGAAATGGAGAAAAAGATGAACTAGAATTCCAAAAAACAATTCAAATGGTAGAAGGTTTGAAAGCTGAAATATAGACAATAAAAAAACAGTCTGAGGCAATGTTGCAAACAGAAAAGCTGTGTAAATGTTCAGAAACTACAGATGAAAACATAATCAACAGAATAAAAGAGTGGAAGTCAGAATCTCAGCTGTTGAAGATACACTGGGAGAAATGGATTCATTGACCAAAGAAAATCTTAAGTCCAACAAATCCCTAACACAAATATCTAGGAAATATGGGACACCAGTGGCATAGACACTGAATTCCATAATTAATAAATGGGACCTCCTGAAACTGAGAAGCTTCTCTAAGACAAAGGACACAGTCAAAAAGACAAAACAGCAGCCCACAGAAAGGGAAAAGATGTTCCCAAACCCCACATCTGAAAATGGGCTGATTTGCAAAATATACGATGAACTCAAGAATCTTGTCACCAAAACACTAAATAATCCAATTAAAAAGCAGGGTACAGTGTGGTTGTACAGATTAAGATACACAGGACTAGGAAAATGTAGGTTAATTTTGTTCAGGTGAAGTCAGTTAAGTTCCAACTCTGAGAATCAACACTCAGCTGATCTCCCTGACCCGACCAAAACCAAGAGACAGCAAGCCTGTTCTGGAACCAGAACAAATCCCACACTCTCATGTACACACCTGTGACTATGCTCAAATGGGCATGGTCAGCAGGACAGGTGCTTAGTTAGATCTCTCACTACAGTACAGAATTAAATAGAAAATTCTCAATAGAGGACTCTAAAATGGCTGAAAGACATTTAAGAAAGTGCTCAACATCCTTAGCCATCAGGGAAATACAAATCAAAACAACTCTGAAATACCATCTTGCTCCTGTCAGAATGGCTAAAATAAAAAACACCAAGGACAGTTTATGCTGGACAGGATGTGGAGAAAAGGGAACACTCCTCCATTGCTGGTGGAAGTGCCAACTTGTACAGCCACTTTGGAAATCAGTATGGTGACTCTTCAATAAAACTGGAATCAGTCTACTACAAGATCCAGCAATTCCACTCTTAGGCATATACCTAAAAGATGCACATTCATACAAGGGTGTCTGTTCAACTATGTTCATAGCAACATTATTTGTAATAGCCAGAAATTGGAAGCAACCTAGATGCCCCTCAACTGAAGAATGGATAAAGAAAATGTGGTACATTTACTCAGTGGAGTACTACTCAGTGGGAAAAGAAAAAAAATGGAATCTTGAAATTTGCAGGCAAATGGATGGAACAAGAAGAAACTGTCCTGAGTGAGAAGAAACCTAGTCACAAAAAAAACATGGTATGTACTCACTCTTATATGGATTTTAGACATAGAGCAAAGGATTACCAGCCTACAATGCACACTGCCAGATAAACTAGGATATAAGGAGGACCCTAAGCGTGATATACACGGTCCCCCTGAGAAAGATTAAGTGACAAGATCTCTTGAGTTAATTGAGAGCATGGGGGGAGGGGAGAGGGTGTTAGGAGAAAGAGAATGGGAGAAGAGGAGAGATGAGGACATGAGGAATTAGAAAGATTGAGTTGGGGGAAGACTAGAGGAGAGCAAGAAAAGAGATACCGTAGAAGAGGGAGCCGTTATAGGTTTAAAGAGAAATCTGGCACTAGGGAAATGTTCACAGATCTACAAGGATAACCCCAACTGACAATGTAAGCAATAGTGGAGAGGCTACCTTAAATGCCCTTGCCTGATAATGAGATTGATGACTACCTTATATTCCATACTAGAGCCTTCATGTAGTAGTTGATGGAAGCAGAAATAGACATCCACAGCTAAGTACCAAATTGAACTCCTAGAATCCAGTTGCAGAGAGGGAGGAGTGGTGAGCAAATGGGTCAAGACCAGGCTGGAGAAACCCTCAGAAACAGCTGACCTGAACAAGGGGGAGCTCATGGACCCTAGACTGATAGCTAGAAAACCAGCATAGGACTGATCCAGACCACCTGAATGTGGGTGTCAGTTAGGAGGCCTGAGCAATCTATGGGACCTCTGGTAGTGGGTCAGTATTTATCCCTAGTATAAGAGTGGACTTTGGAAGCTCATTCCAAATAAAGGGATACTCTCTCAGCCTAGATACACTGAGGAGGGTCTAGGCCCTACTCCAAATGATATGACAAACTTTGAAGATTTTCCCCATGGAAGGCCTCACCCTCCCGTGGAGCAGAAAGGTGATGGGATAGGGGGTTGGTGGGGGACAGGGGAAGATTGCATGGAGAGGGAACTGGGATTGACATGTAAAACAAGGTTGTTTCTAATTTAAATAAAAATGGGAAAAAGTATATTATGAATGCATATTAATAAAAATAAAATTTTCCAGTTTGTATGAGGTCTGTGATAACTTATCATGGAAGAGAGAGTGCTCCCACTTGGCCTGTGTTCTCCATGGGAATCCAGACTGAATTTCAATGTGTTTGAATCCTCTGAAGCCAGGAGTGAAAATAATTCCTTTTAAATCTTTGTTTTTTTTTCTCAAGGATTTATCATAACAATGGAACAAGTGACTAACATACTTAACTAGATGTAACTAGATGGATATGGGTGAGGAAGAAAAGCCCTGCCTCTTGCCCTTAGCCAAAAGGCTGACACCAGCCTGATGCTACTGTCCCAAAGACTCATCCTTAGGTGCGAAGACAAACCTGGGATTACACTTGCTTCCAGTTAGGAAGGACTTTGCAGGTGACTTGTCCTTGGCATATTATTTGAAAATAAAAACTATATTATTTTACCTTTTTGGCTTTTAGTCTATGAAACCATGTTTGCCAAGAGAGAAGACTGGCAAGGGTTAGAAAGAAGCGAATTGCTGAAGTACTTCAATGATTGTGGTCATTTCCCTACACAGAGCCAGATCGACGAACACTTGGACCTGTTCCATAGACGTGAGTGCTCCGGCTCCCATTCCTAGCCTGCCTTCCTTTCTTCTCTCCTTGGTTTCCTCCTTGCTTCTTCTTTTGCCTCTGGTTTTATTCATCATTTAGTCATGTATATTCATTACATATTTTATTTTATTAAATAAGGACAGTTTCATGCACTCATAAATTGTATGCTGAGCCTATTCCTTCTGTCCCTTACCATCTTTTATACCGTAAAATCCTTTTCCTCAAATTTACTTGTATCTGAATTCAATCCATATGAGCAAAGGCAGTCAAAAGAAATTAAAGATTTTTTAATTGAAGAGCATAAAGATAATTTTAGCTTTTACTTTAAACTATATATTTTGATACACCAAAAAGTTACATCTAGCTAAGTATGTTAGTCACTTATTCCATTGCTATGACAAATACTTGAGAAAAAAAAGATTTAAAAGGAATTATTTTTACTCCTGGCTTCAGAGGATTCAAACACATAATGGAAGGAGTGGGGGTAGGAGGAATCAGTACAGAGTTCCACAACAGGATGCTGTACACAATGACATGCCTCAAGTAATATATTTCTGGAAGTTTCCAGACCTCCCAGAATAGCACTGTCTGTGAGGGACAAATCTCTTCAACAAAGAGACCATTGGGCACATTTAATTTATAATGAAACTATACAGAATATATTTAATCCATTGAATTAAAAATTTTCTGCTACAATTTTTCTCCTGGATAGTCAGATTTGATAATATGAAATCAGTCAAGTTAAGAGGGATAAACATAGTAAGCTAATGCATATTACAACTGGAAAATAAATTCTTACTGTATGTATAGATCACTGATACCCAGCTTGCCCACCATACAAGGGCAGGGTACAGTCCTCATAATGCCAAGAAAAGAAAATAATTTTGTTCCAAACAGTAAGTGGATACAAGGATAAAATTGCCTGATATAATTTAATAGTATATATGAAGCAACACTGCTATCTTCTCTAAAAACTAGTAAGAGGAAAAAATCATCACAAGTGTAAGAAATCTTAATGAATCATTTTTTTTTAGCTTTTTTACTTTCCTAGGCTTATTGAAGTCTAATGGACAAAACCATTACTGGTGTGCCATGTCGTGTGATATGCCACACATTGATGGCCAGAATCATGAGCTGGCATACCTGCCATTATCCACAGCTCCCTTCTGGGTATATCTGTGTATGTGTGGGAGGGGAGATTAAAGGTGTTCACTCATTTAAAAAGTCTGAAGTAAACCATATAGCATTATTTAATTTTTCTTCTTATTAAACTTGCTTGTAAATCATGGTGCTATATTTTGGATAGCTGATTCATCACATCAGTATATGTGTTATTAGCACCAGTTTATCACTAGCAACATTTTCAAAGTCAACAAATAATATTTTGTAGTATTTTCTTTCAGCATCTTACTTCATTTAGTACAATGTCCTCCAGTTTCATATATGTTTTCAAAGTGACAAATTTTCCTTTAAGATGATGAGTACTCTTCATTTGTTTATGTAGACTACATTTCTTTATTCAAGCCTATGCTGATGGACACTCAATGATGTCACATTTTGACCAGCTGCTTAGGACATTTCCATAGTGAACATATAGTGTTTCTTTACCCCAATGGTTAACAGCATCGTTCAGAATTACAATAGTTCTGGCTGGAATTTTTAGCAATATTTCTATATTGTTTTCTATAATGGCTGTAGCAACCTACATCCCTATCCACAGTGTTCAAATATTCCTTCTTTTTACCATTTATCTTTTGTATTGTTGGAAATAGCCAACAGCCATTATAGCATGTGTGTGGTGGCATCTCAGTGTAGTTTTGATTTGCATTTCTTTGTCTGGATTTTTTTCTTAATGTTAGTTATTTGGAGTTTGGAGAGTTTTTAAAAAATTTTTTTGACAATGTTCTAGTTCTTGTCCATTTTTAACTGAATTTTTTGTGTGTGGGTTTTAGTTGACTAAGTTGTAGGATTTTTCATCACGGTTTGTGTATTAACCTGTATCACAGATATTTTATCAGTATTCTCCCCTGTTCTTCTGGCTGCCTTCCAGCCTGTTGGTTCTTGTTTTCCTGTGTGTCAGCTCTTTAATATGGTGTAGTCTCACTATTCATTTTGTGTTTTTGTTTGCTTTTATGATGATGTTCAAAACATCCTAGCCAATCTTAGGCAAAAGTGCTTTGTCCCCATGTCATTGAGGAATTTCATGGTTGGAGACTTTAGTGTAATTCTTTTCTAGTGGATGTTTTATAATTATACAACACAGGCACAACTTTATTCTTTTATCTGCAGGTATCCAGTTTCCCAGCACTGCTTGTTGAAGATGCCACCATTCTCTAATTGTATTCTTAGCATTGTTGTTAAAGATCATTTGCCTACAAATGTGTAGGTTTTGTTCTTTCTGTTCTCAGTCTCATGAGTTTTTTATGCTTTGTCCATGTTCCACACTGGTTTGAAATATCCAGACTTATAATAAGTTTGAAGTCAGTAAACAAATGTTTCTGGTCCTGTTTTTCTTTCTTAATATTGTTTGGTTGTTAGGCATCTTTTGTATTCCCCTACAAATTTTAGGTATTTTTTTCCTAAAATGCCATTTTAAGGTTGGAAGTAACTCAGGTAATTAATCTTGTCCTGATTCTATTTTGTGTCTGTGTGGACACTTCTTAGCCCTCTGTTCTTCCCCAACAGCCATATTTGTCTTGGCAACACACTTGGCATTCTCTGTGACTATGGCCATGGGCCAGATGTATTAACCAAAATAATGTTTGTCCAAGCTAAACATAAGCCAAAATAACTGATAAAGGTAAAAATTAAAAAAGAATTGTCATGCTGTATCTGAAATAGCTACATGCTCTGCCAAAATGGATATTTCAAAATTATTCTGATCCTCATTGAAGATTAGTACAATTGTGGTCTGTGTGGCCTTTGGCTTTAAAAATGTTGTGTCCAAGCTGGAGAGATGGTTCAGTGACTGAGAGCATTGACTACTCTTCCAGAGGACCTGTGTTCAATTTTCAGCACTGACATGGCAGTTCATAACTGTCAGTAACTCCTGTTCTGGCACCCTCACACAGACATATATGCAGATATAAGAAAAAAAACCAATGCATATATAAATGCTGTGCCCATGAACTTTGGTAACCTAGCCTGCTCTTGGTTACTTGCTTAAGAACATAAGTCTAATTTGACCTATGTATTGTGGTCTTCAACTTTCTAGCCTATATTGTAGAAGTTTAGAAAAAGATTTTATTATATGTGAGGGTTTGGGGGCAGTGTGTGTGTGTATACTTCTCCCAATCTCTAAATGCAAAGTGGCTTTCCATTTATTTATGTCCACTATTTATTTCATTAATATTTTATTGTTCTGAATGTAAAGTTAGTTCACTTTCTAGGTTCAACTTACTTCCAAGTGTTTTTCTTTTCTTATTATGAATAGAATTATTTTCTTAGTTTATTTTTCTGATTATTTTTATTTGTGTAAAGAATTGCAGCTTGAGTTTTTGTATGTTAGCATTTCTGGAGTGCTAGCCTATTCTTTGTTACCTGCATAAATACATGACATTTGTACATTTGAGTGCTCTGTCTTTATGACATGTTTAATGACAGTGTATCCATAATTCAGTCCTTGAAAATCAATATTTTAGGATGTATTTTTTGCTTTTGGAAAAGTAGTCACAAAATTTGGATATTCTGATTTTCAATAGTGAATCATGATTTTATTTTTAAATGTTTCTTCCTTTGTTCTCCAGAGACATTCACTCAGTTATCTTACCTCTAGATTTTGTCCACTGCTGCCACTACACTTAGAATTATTTTCTCAGTCTCTATGACTATCTGCTCACCTGTTGTCAGATGCATCTGAATCACTTTGAATTTCAGTGTTCATGACTAGGTTAGTAGATACAGTTTTGAAACATGACAAAATACTGACTACAGAAGATGTGGAAAATATAATATATAAAACTTTCAACAAATTGCAATTGTTAATACAAAAAATGTATCGTTTTAGCCTCCACTGTGCATGAAACATAGTTGTGTGAAAATCTTTATTTTCTGTTTAATATGTATGCCTCTGTTTGTTTGCCTTACAATACTCTTGTTTCTAAGCTATACGTTTGTTCACATTATTTATGCATAAATACTAATCTGTCACATGAGTATTCTGAAATGTATTTACTGTTGTATATTTAAGTTGTCTTGATTTTCCTTTAAAGTAACTTAATTTTAAAAATTAACTCCAGCAAGACAGTTATTTCTGAATTGAGCAAGTGTTAGTATTCAAAACCTCAGATTTCTAACTGAATAGATTTCCAGTGTGGTTTTCTCTGAATACTTTGGGGTGTACTACAGTGGGGTGGGGTTAGAGCTTGGCTCTGGTCCTGAATCATTGGCATTTACTTCCTGATTGTATAACTTGATAACCATTTGTCTTTAGGAGGCTGTTTTTACCCCCTATTTTTCTTCTCTATAAAAGTCAGAATATATCCCTGCAATTATATTGTTAAGATGCTTAAATGAAATTATTCATGTGAAATAGTTACTATTTGTCTATAAATACTCAATGAGTGTTTGCTGGTACTATTTGTTACTTATAGTTGATTTTTTTTATTTTTTGCTTTGAAGATGTTTAGGTCTTGAACCTTATTTAATTTTATCTTGACTCATTTCATAGAGATTTTTGCCAGTTGACTTCCACACACACACACCATCTCTCTTGATATCAAAAGAGTTTTCTGTTCATCTGACAGATGAGGACAAGGGTTGAAAGAAACTTCTGAATTCACTGGGAAGACTGAAGGCTTACCTGAGTCTCTTCAATATAAGTTGATGTTGACTTCATTTTATTTTTTGAAAATATTTCAAAATCCATGATATGAAAACACAATTACATGAGTTAGAGAAAGACTTCTGGGCTTCAGAAATAGATTGGTGGTAGAGTACTTGCCTAGCATATGTAAGGTCCTGTGTCCTACTTCAGAAGTGAAAAAAAAAAACAAAAAACA